TACACCGAAGCACTGTGTTCAGTAATCTGGCATTTTTTATTTATTATTTTAATCTGCCAGTAGACTTAGAAAAGATGAACTAAGAGGCTGTAAGGTTGCAGAACTCTAATCAGTTAAAAATAAATAAAATAAAAGAACAATAGTATTTATCTTTTTTTTATTTTTTTAATTATTATTATTATTATTTTTCCTGATACAAAGTAGATTCCCTTTGCTGATTTTGTATCTTACCTATAGAAGCTACACAGCCAGAATTCAGATTATGGAAATGACTCCTTCATTCTGGAGTCGCTAGTGGGCGCTATCACAATAATGTAAGTCACAGAGAGGCTCTCTATGAATTTCAACAGTTAACACCTGCTGTGGTAGAAGAAAAGTCAGATGTCCTCCATGTATAAACTCGCAGCCACATACACAGTGCAAAATCATCCCTCTGTGAACTGCTGTGGGATTTGTGATCTAATTAATTCAGTTAGATATGAGGGCTCTTTGTTTTGGTCTGCACAGACAGTAATTATAGATGAACTTGCATTTCAGGTTAAAATAAATCATTTCAAGAGTTGTGTGATGTTTCATGGAATATTACAGATGCTCATTTTCTACTCGGTTAAACCTCGACATGAAGTACTTGGAACTCTGCCCTAAAGAAACAGCTGAGAATTTCTCTTAGCAGAGACTGGCATAAAGTTTTTACTGTCGGAGAGACCAAAGGTTACAGGAAATTGTTGAGTGCTTCATCGTGTCTTCACCTAGGTAGCCCATAAAAGTTTGACTAGAGCAAGGCTGAACAAAGAACAGACAGGCAGAATCATCTTTCCACCTTATTACTTCTGCAATTGTTCTGAGTGCAGCAAAGGACAGAAACCGGAGTGCCTGTCATCTGTTGTTATTGCAGAGGACTTCAGAATTAATTTGCAGTTAGATCCATAGCTGGAATAAGCTAAGAACTTTGATAGACCAGTAATTAAGTGCCTGATTTCATTTTGTCTATGTTGCAGTAAATTAATAGTAACTCTCTTGATGCTAAAGAAATTGAAGTGTGAAAAGTAAATTTGACCCTAAGTGCTGTGCATATTGATTTGCTTGTCCATCAACAAAAACAAGTAAATGCAGATAAATTATTAATTGGGAAATGATTTCTACCTCTTTATATATGTGTTCAAGGATTTACTGTCTATGATGCTATTGATGCCTCTGTTCTCAATTTTCTCATAGTGAAATTCTCTTTAGGGTTACCCGTAGTAACACAGGAATTATATTTAAGCTCATAAAATTTTGCTTAATTTTATTGTAGTAATCATATTGCTTAAAATAATAAGCTTCCAGTATGAGGAAAGAATAAAAATCAAAATAACTTGTATAAGATTCTTTGGGGATACGATTGCAGTGAAACTGTATATTTGAACAGTTCCCTTGGTCATCTTTTCAGGGAGGATGGAGGATTTCTCCAGGAAATGTAATTAGTGTGCTTAGTCTATCGGGTCTCTGCTCAGCCATGTTTTAGCCTAGAATGTGATCAGCTGCCTAACTACCCTCAAGTCAGTTACCCTCTTTGAATGGCATATCCAGTCATATCCAGTGGAAGGATGGTTGGCAATGGACATGAACTGAAATGTGAGAACTTCCATTTAAACATAAGAAAACAACCTCCTTGCTGTTCGTGTGGTCAAACATTAGCTGCATAGAAAGATTGTGAAGCCTCCATCCATGGAGGTAGTTGAAATCTCACTTGATGTGACCCTAAGAACCTGCTTTAGCCGAACTTGCTTTGGTTAGGGTAGATGGATCAGACAACCTCAGAGGTTTCTTTTGACCTCAGCCTGTGATTTTTAGGACTGTGAGGACAAGAATAAGCCCACAGAAACAGATCTCTATAGTAAAAATTAAAATCTGTAGTGTTTAGCAGTTTCACTTGCCTGTGTCAGTATAAATTACAGGTTGTTTTGCTGCATTGTGGAAGCCCACAGAAGGCATTCAGATCACATGCTTTGAAGTCCTAAATCTAATACTACGTAAATGAAGGTTTTTTGGTGCAATTAGTAACAACAATTGAAAGTCCCAAGTAAACTGACTTCCACTGCAGTACAGCAAAACATGTGAAGACTGATCATTAATTCAGGAGCAATTTCACTTGGCATCTGGCCCCTTCTTCCCCTTGGATACCATGGTGTGGAAGGATTTGATTGGTTTCATAACTTGCTGTTGGGCCCTGGGAGCCCTCCATTGTGATTATCTGCTATTACTGTTGAACTAGAATTATAAAGGAGACCATCAGCTTTATTTCATTCTTTACCCTGCAAGCTATATAAATAAATACAACTGTAGACAGAGGAGAACAAACAGCTGTTCTTTGGAGTGAAGAAGATAAAGATGTCCCTGCTGCCTTCTATTTCCCATATATCCTGTATGAAAATTGTTTAATCTATAGACTTAAAGCTGTGGACAGTGCCAGTAAACCTGGCCAGAATTCTCGGCAATATATATTGTAGAATTAAAATTATGAGTTAAGATTAGATATATTTTGTATCACAAGCTCATTCCAAACCCCCAGACTCTATTTGTGCATATGCAGCTGCATAAGCAACTAGGTTATAAAAAGACATGTAATTGTATATGCTGTAACAGTCTGAGGCAGGGCTGGCATTTGGTCTAGATATAGACAGGCTCTGTGCATGTAGACTTAGTATGTAAAACTCAGAATAATAAGCATCTGTGCTTTTGAATAGCAGATTACTATTTCTGTTTAAATGCTAACACATTAACAATAAGCAAAAGTTTTTTTTAAGTGATGAAATGTTACATTGAGGTACAGGAATGTTGTGATATTGTACTAAGATATGCCCTGTCGTTCATCCTTCAGACTGTTTACAAATTAGACAGTATCATCTTCAGTGTCACAGAACAAACAACTGGAACACATAAGCAGTAGTGATATTCTGTAATTAGAGACTAATTAACCTGAACTGATCTGCTGTTCTTCCATAATAGCAAGGGATTGCAGTATTGATAAGCCAACTCTTCACAAAAATAATTTTAAAAAAAGTATTGAAATATTCTACAGTTGTCTGAATCCTATTTCATTATTATCAATTTTTATTACTAGAAATTAATATTACATGAACCTATTAATATTGTAATTCATATTACAAGACCATTTCTCTTCAATGTTTTATCTTTTTAAAGATTTGGATTTCATTCGGGAATACTGACACAATTGTAGGACTGCCTTTGTGTAAATACTTTACAATTTACAGATGTCTAGGTACAATAATAATTAAACAAGGCTAACCTAAAGCAGAAAAATGTTTTTAGATTTGGCTGGAATCAGGAAGATGTTCATTGTGACACTGTGTATTGAATGCTCTAGCGATGAGTGGTAAATCCGGGATTTTACTCCTGCTGAATTTGACACTGGAGAAAGCAGAGGTAGACTCTCCATTGCAAAGGGTTTATTCCACTTTGCAACATCTGAGTGCTATCAGAATCGTATCAATGGATTAGAAATTACTGATGGATCTGAAACGTATGTAAAATCCTATATTTTTTATTACGTACATTAATTATATAAACATTATTTTATAAAAAGATTTATGTAAGTGAAACTGAGATTATACTATGTCCTACAGTGTTTTTGTTTTTTTTTTTGTTTTGTGAATAATGAGACTGGTCATGTGGTCCACTGACTAGCTCAGCATCTTCCTTGATGCAAGAGTGTGTTTAACTTTCTTTGCTATCAGTGGATCCACTAGCAAGCTTAGGGCTGGACAAAACTGCAGTTTAAGCGCTATGTTTAAAACCAGGAGCAGACTATTGCACTGCTAGGTACAGAACATCTTCAAGTATCTTCTCAAGTTCACTGATCACAGCCTAAGAGATTAATCTTTTCTGATCATTATTCTTACTCTTCCTTTCTTTCTTCCTTTCTTTCTTCCTTTCTTTCTTCCTTTCTTTCTTTGATCCTTTGCCAGTGGTAAAACTGAGTGATGATCGCATTGCAGATTGTCAGAAAATGTAGCAGATCAAATATTTTAGGCATCAGTGTACCTATATAGTATCTGTGCTTTCTTCTTTCTACTGAAGCCTGTATAGAGCCCTAAAGAGATTTGTTGAATTTCTTCTTAGTGATTTTTGATTTAAGTATCTAAATGATTTCACTCTGCTGCTTTAGAACTGAAATGAATCTGTCATTCTTCTGCTGAAATATTCATGCTTAAAATAAAAACAAATGTTATTAAATAGATCAACTTTCTTAATCTTAGCTTACTTTAAAGATCATTTGTTTCATGTTGTGGCTTACAAAGAAAAAGCATTTTCAGAGTAGAAAAGCCAGATTCTGCGTTTCTGATCATATTTCAGGAATGACTTTATTTATAAAAAAAATTTGCTAGTGCTGTACTTGATAACACAGTATTGAATGAGGTGCATTAGTATGACAGAGACATTTGCGACATGGGAAACATCTGTAGGTAAAGAGTATTGTTTTCAAAGATGTATTAGAAATGGCAATATCTTTCTTTGGAAATTAATACTTGACTGTATTTTGCAGTTTTGAAAACATTTCCCCAAAGAGTTTTTAAAAGCATCCAAGAGAAAGACACCAATTTACATCAGCAGAATTACAAGCCTAAGATTGCAAAACACTGAACTAGTACAAAACTTTCCAGCTTGAATAATGATAGAAACAAATGTGTAGAGCAGACTAGATACTACAGTCATTGACAGTAGAGCAACTTCAGTAAAGATTACAAAGCTGAATTTATTTCTCATTTTAAATCTATTTCTTTTATTTATTCATTTTTGAAGGTTATGAGGATTATGATCACATTTACAGCTCTGCATCGCTATCTACTTGGAGATGATGGTGACACCTTAGAGAAAACGTGCAAACTCCTGATTAACCAGCATTCTACTCTGTTTATCCAAAAAAATTGATAACTGCTTTTGACCAACTCAATTTTGTTCAATCATGTTGTCTCTACCAGCCTAAACCATTTCCTAAAATGGTCCTTTTGCTGTTCCTTGCAATCCTATTATTGAAGGAAGATGTCTGTGGGAACTTCAGGCTTTTGGTTTCTGCACAGGCCAATGAAAGAAGGGTGGTTGCACACATGCCTGGTGATATTATCATTGGAGCTCTGTTTTCTGTCCACCACCAACCAACAGTTGACAAAGTTCATGAGAGGAAATGTGGAGAGGTAAGAGAGCAGTATGGCATTCAGAGAGTGGAGGCAATGCTACATACCCTTGACAGAATTAATTTGGACCCAACACTGTTGCCAAATATAACACTAGGATGTGAAATAAGGGACTCTTGCTGGCATTCTGCTGTGGCTCTGGAGCAAAGCATTGAGTTTATAAGGGACTCTCTTATTTCATCAGAAGAAGAGGAAGGGATGGTGCGATGTGTAGATGGATCTTCATCATCTTTCCACTCCAAGAAACCCATTGTTGGTGTCATTGGCCCTGGCTCTAGCTCAGTTGCTATCCAGGTCCAGAACTTATTGCAGCTTTTCAATATACCTCAGATTGCTTATTCTGCCACAAGCATGGACCTAAGCGACAAAACTCTGTTCAAGTATTTTATGAGAGTTGTACCATCTGATGCACAGCAAGCACGGGCTATGGTGGACATTGTCAAGCGCTATAACTGGACCTATGTTTCAGCTGTACACACTGAAGGTAAGAGGCTTTTTCTTCCCATATTAGGATGCCTGTGAACCACTTTGTTGTGGTCAGAGAGCTACATGATGATAATTGGATGGATATTTTTTGTCAGTCAGTTATCAAGTGCATAGACTTTTATTTCACTTAATTTTGGTTAAGTACCAAGCTGAGGTAGCGCTGTTTTGATAACCACTGAAAACACTTTGAAATACAGGATTGTGTGAGTTAAAGGAGAAATTGTGTGCTTACTTTTGAGTTTCCTATTTTTTTTTAACCTTAATTTAATTAATTTATTTTACTTCAATCATTCGATATATTTATGTGGAATAACCATTTTGACTGTATTGAAATCAGCGGGTAACAAGAAAGTGCTTGGTCTTTCTAGTGTTGAAGAAAGCTAAATCATCCTTTGAAACAGTAGCTAAACCAATGATTACTACTAGAGCCACAGAGGCTTGACTGCTAAAAGACTTGTGGTTCTGGTTAATATCCGAATGCAATTCGTCCTAGCTTCTTCAGATCAGTACTGTTTCTGTCCATTTTATAGTACTCCATGGAGTATTGCAGCCACTCCTTGCTCTGTGTCTAGCCATTGGATTTAGAAATAAGCAGAAGAATTCTCCTTGTGTCTTCTTCACACACCATCAGGTTTCCAGAAAATCAGAACTATGTACTGTATTTCTTTTCTCTCTTTATTAATTTCAGCTAGAGCTTGATTTTATTTGCCTAGCACTCAGAAGAGTACAATTAAAAGGAAATGCTGTGGAAAAGATTACATGAATTCTTTCTTCCTTGTGGTTGAGTGGTTTTATCTTGCTGTGAGTGACTACAATTTCATATTGCCTAAAGAGAAAGTTTCACTAGTCCCTGTTTAATGGCATCGCAGTGTAATATGTTTTCTGAATTAGCTTCTGTGATGGATTTTAGGTTCTCACCTTTGTTCAGACAGGTTCAGAATATGATCTGGGGGAAAAAAAAACACCACGTTATTAAGAGATTGAGTACTGGTGACAGCGTTGCTGAACAGCAGCAGATGCTGCTGGCTTTATTACAACCAATAAAAAGCAGATTGTCCTTCCCACACACGGAGTATGCTTCTCTGGCAGAATTTATACTATTCAAAGCCCTTTTTGGTAGAACGCTGGTTGAATGCAAGTATGCAGAAATTATTGTACTCCTACAGATACGTAGTGAGCTCATTCTCCAGTGTTAAAAAAAAATGCAATTTAGAACTTAGATGAAGATTGTTGTAATCATTATTCCATCATGATAATGAAGATTGGTAAATAACTTCAGTCTCTATTCTCTGGGGATGCATGAGTATATTAGCAGTTTAAATAATAATGTATAAATCACTCTACGTCATATCATGTAGTGAAACTACTCTGTGCCTGCTGATGCCTTTGGCATGGTTTGGTGTGCAGCCTTTCCTCTACAAATGTGTATGCGTAATATCACAATAAAAAATGATGCCAGTGATGCATTGCATTAGTTTGAGATTGTATATCCTGACTACTTATGAAAACTTGTGTAGTTTCGTATGTATATCTTCTGCTTATTGAGCAGAGATGCTTACATATTCAATGGAGAATTGTCAAGCTTTTGTCAAGGTCTGAATGCATAGGGTGAAAATACTCACTTTTGCCACTTCCCGTGGATACTCTTCTTGGAGCAGATGGTAGCATATGGCATGTTAATCTCATGGTAAAGTAACCTTGCTCTGTGCTTTGGAAAAAAGGGAATAGACATGCAAGGATCAAAACTGGAGGTGGCTGCTGTGGGCAAGATGAGTTGAGTGTGAAGAAGAGCCGATGAATGACTTTACTTCAGTAAGATTTGCCTACTTCTACCCACATCTAAGTGGACAAGATAGGTGGTACAGTTAATACCTGAGGCCTCATACAATTCGTGCCATATTTACAGCAGTGTAACTCTGGACTTTGGTGAATGAACATTACCTTTGGGTTACAGGAATCTTGTACTCTATTAACATGGTCTGGTCATGATGGTGAGTACAATCTGCAATCAAATAGCATCATACAGGTGTTTTGTAACAGTAGAACAGATGGTATGTATAATGGTATAGACAAATACAAGCTAATGAAGGTACTTCTCTGAAAGCTGATGTTCTGGGCACTTTTAAATGTTATGGCAGATGTTGTCCCTTCCAGGAACAAAAAGATTATTAAAAAACAAAACAAAACAAAAAAAAGTCACCATAAAATAAAAAAAAAGATTGCTATGCTGAAGTAAGGAAATTCAGTAAGCAAGCAAAGAGATATATTATGGATTACTTTAAGTTTTGAATTAATTTCCTTTCAATAGAATAATTGTTTACTTATAAATATCCTGAATAGTGCCTCTATACTTAGTGCCCTACATTCACATTCACTAATTCAAAGCAGAAAAAAAATAGATTCCTGTTCTTTTTATCTTGCTCTCCCATTTACACTGGAATTTAATTAAGTACCTCCAATAATTCTGTAGTCTACACTCAATATCTTTAGCTAATCTTTGTGCTGTAGCCAGATTACTCCAACACGAGATTTCTGGTTTCTGGGAAGGATGCCCCATCCCTGAGACAAGCAAGGTCAGGTTGGATAGGGCTCTGGGCACCTGATGAAGCTATAGCTGTCCTTGTTCATTGCAAGGGATTTGGACTGGATGTCATTTAAAGGTCCTTTTAAACTCAAACAGTTCTATGATTCTGTGGTTTCCAAGGATAGGGAGGGTCCTAACATTCATAGCTAGATTGGGAAAAAAGAAAAAGCTGAAAATTCTTGGTTATTTCATCGCTTTGATAGTTCCATCATCAGACAATATTATAGGTCTCTTTTTGTTCCAGTGTAATAAATGCCTGGGAATAATTTTATCACAAAAATCTTTCTGTTTGCATGTTTCTTTGTGTACTTACCAATCACGCTAAATGAGTTGGATTAAAATTTTGGGAGGTTGAGCAGAAAACGTTGTTAAATATTAACTCTAGGTTTTCACATTTAAAATATGCAAACACTTTGAGAGATGCTAGTAGGCTTTGCTCCTTTGAAATTTACCTTTATGGTTTAATCAAGTGATGCGTCCAGTTGTGCAAGTAGCCACTCACAGTAATACAGTAATGTTTTTTCCTACTAATGGGAAGGTGGCAAACATCATTTTCAGTGATTACTAATAATTTTAAGTAGGAAATTTCTCCAATCTAATTAACAAGAAATATGAGTAACAAATGACAGATATTTGTCATAAAACAACAGTCATTTCCACTCACATGTGTAAATATAACAGTGTATTTTACATAAGCCAGTCAGGAATCTTCACAAGTCTCAGTCAGTTCCAGATTGTAAGTCCTGATGCTTAGCTCTATTAGGAATGATATGACTCAGAAACATCAGTTGTATCAACTCAGTTTCCAACTCTTCCTTGCTTTTAATGATTTGTGGAGTTCTACTCTGAACCAATCTGGGTTTGAAGTAAACCTCCTTCACTCATCACCAGGGCATTTTTTTTGAAAAGCCACATCATTTATAGAATCCAACTTATGTTGTGGCTCAGTGAACAGATGTGTTAACACTGTGGGTCAGGGGAGCAGGAGTGAGCAGGCCAAGAGGAAAAATATGGTTGGAAATTCTTTGTGCTGCAACCTATCCCTTAAAGCCTGAAGCAAGTTTATTTTACTTTATAGATTGCTATAGCACATAGGATGTGCCAGAGACCATTTTATTTGTTGTTTCCATGTTGATCTAATTCTCTCAGCTGACTTCACTGTTTGCTCTTTTTTTTTTTTTTCCAACCACTGTAACAGAAAGTGGATTTAAAGCAACTTTTCTTAAAACAACTTTCACTGCTTAAACTAACATTGCTGATAGACATTAAGTTGATAATGCTGCCAAGACTCTCTCGTCCTCTCTTATGCATCTCTCTGAAGCAAAGCAGCTCAGCAGAGATAAACCCTGCAGCTTTGTCCCCCAGTTTTTCAAAGTACATGATAGATTCTTCTTAGCTTTATCTTCTGTCTACATCTGAGGAAATTAATACTTGTGCAGGAGAGGCCCCTGTTAGGATTTTGGGTGGCCATGCATATGCAAATGACCCGTGAAGCTCAAGCAACCAGTTTCGCCTCAGCCTTTTCTTCCTTCACCATTTCAAGCTACAACAAAGTGGAAAGGACTGGGGAAAATGGGAAGAATCTGGCTGTCTGCTACAAGAGATAAAGGATGCACCTCATTTCACATATGAAAGCATTCTCTGGTCTTTCCCTGAGACCCAAAGATCAGAGAAAAATGTATGTGATTTTCTTCACCATCACTGAGATGAGAAGGCTTCGTTAAAGTTGTGTTTGAAGCTCTCACATTGACTACAGTGACATTGGTATCAGGCCTTCCTAGCCAGAAACAAAGTCAGTCCCTGTAAGTCTCTGCATAAAATTTGCTTGGAGCCAAATGAATTGATAATATGAATGACAGTTTTCATTGCTATTGGAAACCATTTCTTTGCCTCTCTGAATGAAGTGAAGAGGTTATATATGCTGGCAAAACACAAGCTCACAAAAGTACAAATTTATTGAGGGTGGCAAGAGATAAATTTCAATTCATTATGTGAAAGGTGTGATTTACTTCTGAACACAGCCTGAAGAAGCAAACTACTCTGTTAACATTTTCTTTACAGAGCTCTACAGGCAAGCATTGGCTCAAACTCATCCTCAAAATACTTTCTTTTTAATAACATTTTCCTCCATTTAAATTTATTATAAAAGTTTATACACAGGTAATTCACCTTCTTTTTCTTAGGATACACTCTAGCAAGTATAACAGAAAAAGAACTCTTTTTTTGTGCACATAAGTGTTATTTCACACATTCACTTTTGTATTTGTTCAAACATGCTTGGTTATAAGACTATTTTTGCCTATATCCTTTGCAACTGGGTAAAGAGCAAACTGAAAATTAGTCATAATGTGTGGGAATAAGATGAAACGAATGAAGGAACTGCAATAAGTGTACCTTAAGCCTGCTGGTTGGAG